GACAACACGAGGACTCATGGACATATAATTCTAAGCTCCAATAAAATTAATAATTAATTAAAACTCTTTAATTAATTAATTAATTCTATTAATTCTAAAAGTTACTCCACTATAAACTTGAAATTGCACTCTCATAATTATAGATATAAATTACTTTTAAACTGTGAAGTGTCCATTTGATATAGTCATTACATATAGATCAATCCTCTATAAATAATTCATAACTAGAGCTAGGTGAAATCCGTTGATCTCTCTAATTACATCTTTATCCTTGAGTATCATTGATTCTCTAATGGACAGTGATTCATAAAGCAAATTTATGAATCGGAGTTCCTACTAGTCTAAGTACCGAATCAATCTTCAAGAGAATTATTTATCTGCTTCTTTCTCAAGAAAGAATGGATTCCATCTCGTGTATTATCATTCTCGGCTACTCACCTCATCATGTCTTCAAAATACAAGGAATAAGATTCAACATCTCGAAAGCTGTACTGAGTAAATCAAAAGGCACAAATTCATAAATAAGAGTTTGCTAATAACTCAGGATTAAGATCGTTTTATATATGACCATCGATAGACTCAATTAGAATTTCTATACTTAATGAAAAGTATCAGAAATTCATATTGTGTCTGTGTCCCGGTTTCACACAATCTCATTATGCGTAATACACTCGTTCAATATCTCATCATATTAATAGTGTGGATAATATCATTTCATTTTAAATGAGAATGACATATATTAGTAATGTTTAAAAATTCTAACATTTAATTAAATTCATTGCGAACATCATTTTAATTGATATTAATAAAATATTCAATAATATATGCACATAAAATAATGAATAAACTATTTTATTAAATTAATAATAAATATCATATTACATCTCATACTTTTATGATATCATTCTCAAAAGTATATCTTGTCCTTATAAAGATAAATACCATTTTTGTTAGTCTAAAACTTACCATTTACCCTACGTTCTTCCATTCAAATTTTTAGATATATGGAAACTAACTTCAATAATTCATATTAATTATTATTTAAACATTTATTATCTAAAAAAATTGATTGTAAAAACTAAACAATAAAAAGAAAAATTTGTAAATGGCACAAAGAAAAAATTAAAAAAAAAAGAGACACAAAGGGATTAGAGTCCTTCCACGGAGGTCATTCATGGAAACGAGTATGATTAGGTGGCAATTTGTGTTAGTAGGTAGTGTTCATGTCAACCCGTTTACTAATCGTGTCAGAAAACATCAATTCAAACACGATATGTTTATTAAACGTGTCAAAAATGTCAACCTAAACACGACTCATTTATTAATCGTGTCAACCCATATAACTCATTTAAATTAATATATTACATAAATAATTAATATAATAGTGACTTATTTAATACGATCAAGACATGTTTAACATGTTTATTAGTCAATTTATCTTTTCTTTAAAAAAAAATAAATTTTACTTACAAATATTAAAATTCACATTATTTGTATTTAATATGTCACATAAACTTTAATGTTATATTATATATATCATTAGATTGTAGATGACACATATAGTTAATCGTGTCAATTGGTGTCACTTTGTGTTAGGAGGTCAACCCTAACCCAATATATTTATTAATCATGTTAATAGTGTCAACCTGATTATGACTCAAACCCATTTATAATAAACTCAAACTTGCTACCTTCATATGAGTTTCGAATCATGTCTTCATGTCTCTACTCGAATTGTCAGCGCTACTCAATAAGGTCTAGGACCTCCTCCCAAATCTCTTCTACAAGATCATTATTGTTTTCTTTGGTTTTGGATTTTTTTTTTTTTAACTCATTCATTTTAAGAAATGTTTAAAATTGTTTCTGAAATATGAATAATATCTATATTTGAATGAGGGTAATCTTGGTACTTTAATATACATGTTAATGGTGTCAACCCGATTATGACTCAAACCCATTTATAGTATACTCAAACCTGCTACCTTCATATGAGTTTCGAATCATGTCTTCATGTCGCTACTCGAATTGTCAGCGCTTATTGGTCTAGGACCTCCTCCCAAATCTCTTCTACAAGATCATTATTGTTTTCTTTGGTTTTCGATTTTTATTTTTATTTTTAACTCATTCATTTTAATAAATGTTTAAAATTGTTTCTGAAATATGAATAATATCTATATTTGAATGAGGGTAATCTTGGTACTTTAATATATTTAAGAGGAAAAAAAAAAAAAACTGTAAAAGGCCAAATCCGGGAAGGAGGCAGTCCAAGAAATATGAATAATATCTATATTTGAATGAGGGTAATCTTGGTACTTTAATATATTTAAGAGGGAAAAAAAAAAAAAAACTGTAAAAGGCCAAATCCGGGAAGGAGGCAGTCCAAACACGGCACAATTAAGCCAAGGTTGACAGGTTTGTACTTTGCTGACTCATTTTAGGGTCATTTTTGGTAATCAAACTATTTGTTAATAATATATAGCATTCTATTTTATTTTATTTTCCTAAGAAAAGATCACGGACTTTTCTTTTGAAAAAAAAAAAAAAAAAGAACCGTGGCGCAAACTGCAATATTATATAAGTTCATTCATATTTTCTAAGTCAAGCCAACCATTGGATCTACTCACCCACCTAACCCCTCCCCAACCACATCCATCCAGCCTACACTTTCTCTCTCACCAACCCAAAAAAAAAAAAAAAAACGATAGTAAATCTTGTACAGCCAGAATATACTTAGGATAAAAACTATAAAGAAAATGGTGTAGAAAAATATGGCAAAATATCACTTGTGTATATTATATTTTTTTATGAACTTTTAAATCTTTAGTAAGTTGAATTAAGTTAGGAACTTTTGTTAATTTGAGGTGATTTTGATTTATATGATAATCTAAAATATGTTATACTAAATTAGAACAAAAAATATTATACGCGATATTCATTATTTCTAATAAATTTCTTTTAAGAAAACATGACATTCGCAGTAACGTAATTTCAAATTGTTAAATTGTATTAACATATAAATCAAAAGAAGTTAATTAATTATAATTTAATAAGTTAAAAGGAAATTCTACTATAAGGTTCGAAAAAATGAACTGTCCTATATCTTTTTTTTCAACCGCAAATCATACTTTAAAAATTGTATGTTTTGTATATATTTTTTTTATATTATGATGTAATTTTGATTAAATTTAACGATTAGAAAAAAAATCTAAAGGCATAAAATCCTAATATCCCAATCTATAAAGACCCTAATAAAAAATAAAATCTAAGATTATTTTATTCTTTTTACAACTCAAGTCACAATTTAAGTTTCATTATTACAATATTTTCTTTTATAAAAATTTAAATTTTACTTTTTTATTATAATATTTTTTTTATAAATACTACTTGAGTTCTTAAGTTGTGAAACAAACTCCTCTTTATGTTTTGGTACTAACACATTTTTTTTCTTTTTTATTTTATTATTAAAAAGAAAATAATTAAGGGAAAAAAATTTCAATCATAGTCAGTGAGCTAACTACCAGGCGCCACGTGATTATCTTCCTTCCTCTTCCCCCTCTCTCTCTCTTCCCCGTTGGTGGTAGCTCCTCTCTCTCTCTCTGTCCTAACTCTCTCTCTCTCTCTCTATATAAATCCCCTTCGCTTCCGTTCCTCATTTCCATTCTCTCTCTCTCTCTCTTCCGGTTGATTTCGTCGCTCAGGTAATTCAGATTCAATTCTTCTTCTTGTTCGTTCTCTCATTGACGCAAAAGAAAGCGAAATTGTGTCGAACTAGTACTCGGATCTGGTTTGTTGTATCTTTTGGATCGCGGAGATTCGGTTTCGTGTCTGTTTGTTTGTTTGTTTGTGTGTTTTGGATTTCGATACGTTCGAGGTCGGAGGACAGGGGTGCTCTGTTTTGTCGTTTGGTTTAAGGTGATCCTGTATAATTTGGAGCTCAAGATCTGATTCCCCGTTAATTGGATCTTTGCTCGCCATTGCTTTGCTCTTTGATTTGAGTTTAGGTTGTTTGGTTCCATGGAATTGCGGGTTTTTACTTCGCATTTTGCGTAGATTTCTGTTACACCAAAGATCTGGTTGAATATAGTTTTTCGTTAGGTATGATTTAGGCCCGTTGATTTCACCGATTCGAGTTTTATTAGAGTAAAAAATTTTTAAAAACAATAACATTTAACTTTTTTATTAAAAAACTTTTGCATAAAATCACATCTAAATTAAATTAAAAATTCGAATCATTGAATTCAACAGGCCATGTCATAACTTGTACGGATTATGTATTCATGCAAGTTATACATGTGTGATGTATGTGTGTGTATATAAGTGGACATATGTTTAGCTTGTGTATGGTTATGGAACACATTTTGAATGAATATTTAAATATTTGATTTTATAATATGTAAATTAGATTGTTTGCGTCAATGAAGAATAAACATAATCACTCTTTAGAATTTGGATCTAATTTCTTGAAACTTTGGTTTTGGAATCTTATGATCCTATTCTTTCTCTTTTAGTGCGCCAAATTTATTCCTTTAACTTTTGCCCTGAGATGCCAAGTGTACTCATTGTACTCAAAAAGTTGAAACTAAAAGCTGTAGAATTATGTCTTATACGTTGGGAATAGAAATGCTTCTATTGAATTATGATTTATGAGATTTTGGCGCCTGGTGGTGTCAGTGATATTTTTGTGGGAACTGTTATTCTTCTATGTCATTCCCTTTTACTGCAACCCCACATGTAATAAGTGATGCTTTACTAGCATTTCATCATAATGTGTTTTTGCTTATGCAGGTTATCTTTGGTTGTACGCCATGGCCACCGGACAGCTATTCTCGCGCACTACGCAGGCATTGTTTTACAACTACAAGCAATTGCCCATCCAACGGATGCTTGACTTCGATTTTCTTTGTGGTACGTATACGATTTCCACGCCTTCCTTTGTATTTGTTTTTCTTAAACTGGATTGTGTAAATATTACTAAGTGCCCTGATTAGTTTACTGGTTTTCTAAGATTCTTTCAGCAATAATGTAAACATTAACGTTGATGTGAATGCAGGGAGGGAAACACCATCAGTTGCTGGGATCATTAACCCGGGTTCTGAGGGATTTCAGAAACTTTTTTTCGGGCAAGAGGAGATCGCCATCCCAGTGCATTCAACGTATGTCTGTGTCTCATACGTAATTCATACATACAACTTTATTTGCTTTGAATTTGGATCTTAGATAGGTCCTGATCTATGTTTAAACACCATAGATGAACTTGGGTGGCATAAAATGATCAAGGATCAGTTACAAATGAGACTTTATAGTATGCTAGGAGGAAGTTTTATTTACTCTTCACATGTCCATGGTACATTAGTGCTTTTGTTTACCGTCAATCTCAAAGATGTCCATAAGGGGAAAATACGATGTTGACCATTTCAATAAGCTCTAGCTAAACTGATGCACGCACAACATGCTTGCCCATATATACTTACCACAAAATCCACAGAATTTCGGCAGAAAAACTAAAATGTAGTACTTGCAACATCTGTAATCTGATGTATATAACCTTTTTATTTTCCCAATCACACAAACAGAACTGGTGTCTTTTTCCTCCTTTACATGTTGAAGATTATAGGTTTAGATTTTGGGAAATCTTTACTTTCAGTGAACAACCCAATTAATTTTGGTTTCTGAGTTTAAGATTGTCTAACATGCTAGTGATAACTTTTGCAGCATTGAAGCAGCTTGTGCCGCGCATCCCACTGCTGATGTCTTTATCAACTTTGCTTCATTTAGAAGGTAACTACTAAATGCTGGTAGTATTTGGTTTCTGAATTATTTTCTAAGCAAGAGCATTTTCAACTAATATGCATTGGGTATTTGCAGTGCTGCTGCTTCTTCCATGGCTGCATTGAAGCAGCCAACCATTCGAGTTGTGGCTATCATTGCTGAAGGCGTACCCGAGTCAGACACTAAGCAATTGATCGGTTATGCACGGTCAAACAATAAGGTGAGGATGGATGCAAAGTTCATTCGCAATGCATAGACTTAGCAAATGACCAAGCAGTACTAATGCTGATGGTGTTGCAGGTTGTTATTGGCCCAGCTACTGTTGGTGGCATTCAAGCTGGAGCCTTTAAGATTGGTGACACAGCTGGAACTATTGATAACGTAATTCAGTGCAAGTTGTACAGACCTGGATCTGTTGGTTTTGTCTCAAAATCTGTACGTGGAAATTCCAACTCAATACTTGTAGCTGTTTTTACATGATTCTTGAGTGCTGGCTATTATATTTATGTGACACATTCAAGTTCTAGCTAGTGCGCTTGTTAGGAAGTGTTTGTGTATGTTGTTCTGGAAGATAATGATTTTTGGTCATTGCAGGGTGGGATGTCTAATGAACTGTACAATACCATAGCCCGTGTGACAAATGGAATCTATGAAGGTATTTATATGTCTTCGCTTTGTTGTATTTTACATTCACTTTTATGTGGACTTAGGATGTAACAATATTTTGTGCTTGTTGGATCTCTTTAGGTATTGCTATTGGAGGAGATGTGTTTCCAGGATCCACCCTTTCTGATCATGTTTTGCGGTTTAACAATATTCCACAAGTATGTTATTTCTCTTGTACGTCAGACTTTCTTTCTGTTTGTTTGGTTTTCAAAGTACTGAGAGTGGACGGAGGGCCATCTGTGTCCTTATCCAACGTATGTAGTCATCCTGCATGATATATAAATGAATGCCCAATGGATGTGAAACATAAGTTTCCATCTGTTGAGACCAAAAGAGGCCTCATGTGAGTTTCTGTCCAGAGCAATATGCTCTGTGCTTTTAAAATGTGTAAATGGCAGGTGATAGTTATTTCATTTTCATGCGATTGTCTTGTTTTTCTCTTATATATCTATGGAGAGAGTTATCCGCCTCTTATATATTTGATTTTGTATGCATGTGTGTTTGTGTGTTTGCACATATGCTTAAATTTATACTTGTGTGGTGCAAGATGATGTTTCTCATTTTATGCCACTGCGGGTATTTTCATTTTTGTGAGTGAAAATAAAACATAGTTCTAAGTCTTCTCATTTGTATAGACTGTTGTCCTCATTCCGGACCTTTTTCTTCTGTTTTGTATTTTCAAAATCTGACTCAGGTTAAGATGATAGTTGTACTTGGGGAGCTTGGTGGACGAGATGAGTATTCCCTGGTTGAAGCTCTGAAACAGGGGAAGGTGAACAAACCTGTGGTTGCTTGGGTTAGTGGAACCTGTGCACGGCTTTTCAAATCCGAAGTGCAATTTGGTCATGCTGTAAGTTATAACTCTACTTCCCCTGCGTAATCTTTTTGTCAAGATTGCTAAAATGTTTACTGTGCTTAATCTTTGTGACGCAATGTAATCCAGGGTGCTAAAAGTGGTGGTGAACTAGAGTCTGCACAAGCAAAGAATCAAGCACTAAGGGATGCAGGGGCTGTTGTTCCTACTTCTTATGAAGCCCTTGAAACCGCGATTAAGGAATCGTTTGAGAAACTGGTTAGTTCAGTCAGCATGCGTTGAGCTTTCAAATGCCTATATGTAAACCTGCTTCCCTTTCCCTAACCCCTGAAAAAATGATCAAGTAGAATGAGTAACTCTCCAATAAAGTTCCACCTATGCTCCTTGACTTCTGAAGGTTAAATTTTTGAATGACGTTCTTAGGTTGAAGAGGGAAAGATTGCACCAGTGAAGGAATTCACTCCTCCACAAATTCCTGAAGATTTAAACACTGCCATTAAGAGTGGAAAAGTTCGGGCTCCAACCCATATTATTTCCACCATCTCTGACGACAGAGGTATTAACTGAATCTTTTATGTTCTTGTCTTCTTGTTGGATGTATGTCAAAAGTCACCTTAAATTCTACTTTTAAACAATTTGCAGGTGAGGAGCCATGCTATGGTGGTGTACCTATGTCTTCCATTGTTGAGCAGGGTTATGGTGTCGGTGATGTTATCTCTTTGTTATGGTTCAAGCGCAGCCTTCCCCGTTACTGTACCCATTTTATTGAGGTGGACTGCTCAATTGTATAAAGCTTTTATATTTTATCTTTTGTTTCTCTGTCATGCAAAATTTTGTTACTGGTTCTCAAAGGGAAGCGTTTATTCTGGCTATTGACAAATACATTTATCACTGGCTAGATATGCATTATGTTGTGTGCCGATCATGGTCCCTGCGTTTCCGGTGCTCACAACACTATAGTAACAGCTAGGGCTGGAAAGGATCTTGTTTCGAGCCTTGTGTCAGGTATATTGTAGCCGCTGAATGGTTTTTTTGCCGCTGAATGGTTTATTTAGCTAACATTCCAAATCACTGGGGCATCCTCGGTGATATATGTGTAATGAAGCAATGAGAGATGATTTTCTGAAACAGGTTTGCTTACTATTGGTCCTCGATTTGGTGGTGCCATTGACGATGCTGCTCGATACTTCAAGGATGCATATGACAGGGTAAGAAGCAATGATGACCTCTATGGGTGACCAGTTAAAACTTGTGCCTTACTACTATAATGTTTTGTGCTCTAAAGCAAGCTAACTTTTAGTTGTCTTTTTCAGAATCTTACACCATATGAGTTCGTTGAAAGTATGAAGAAGAAGGGCATTCGTGTGCCAGGAATTGGGCACAGGTATTGAGCTTCACATGTATCGGTTCATGTTTAGAATATGGATGACTGGAGACTGGTTTGTTTTTCTTCACACTTTGAAATACCATAATGCAAATCTAAGTTCTTGAAATATTTTATTTGCCAAAAGGATCAAGAGAGCTGACAACAGAGACAAAAGAGTAGAGCTTCTCCAAAGTTTTGCGCGCACGCATTTCCCCTCTGTCAAGTACATGGAATATGCAGAGCAAGTCGAAACCTATACCCTTTCTAAGGCAAACAACCTGGTCCTTAACGTGGATGGTGCAATTGGGTCCCTCTTCTTGGATCTTCTTGCTGGCAGTGGAATGTTCACCAAACAAGAAATTGATGAGATTATCGAGATTGGCTATCTGAACGGGCTATTCGTCTTGGCACGTTCCATTGGTCTGATTGGGTGAGTTTCTTACTTCCAAAATTTTTTTATGCAGATCGTTTGGGCTGTTTATTTATGTTGCCCCTTCGTAAACACACAAATCCTTGACAAACAACAGTCAAGATTTTGACCTTAACTAATCTTTCTATCCCCAAGGGAGATGTGCTTAAATTTTTATGTGGTCGATATCTTTCTATCCCCAACGTATGACCTTGACTAATTTTTATGCATGTGTCAAAATTGCACAGTTCTGTAAATTAAAATTACTGTAATACTGTTTTGTCACAGCTTTATTACATCTAAAATGTTATATTTTGTTTTCATACGTTTCATTTTCTCCTTTCCATAATGGTTGTTATAGTTGGTTCCTTCTGACTAATTGTTCTCACTCGGCAAAATCAGGCACACCTTTGACCAGAAGAGATTGAAGCAGCCACTCTACCGCCACCCATGGGAGGACGTTCTTTACACCAAGTGAGAACTTCTGATCAGCAGCAATCGCAAATGCTACGCATACGACCACCTGCTTTACCCGAGCATCGTTTTTCAGTTTTTTCGAGTCTCCAATTCATTGAGATGATTGTTTCCCCTGTTAGATTAGTGTTTGTACTGCAATGGCAGAGCCAAGTACCGTTATCTGTAAACAAGGAAAGAAAGAAAAAAAAGTTCACTAGGACAAAATCCTCCCATTTTTATAGAACAAAGTCGTCTTCTTCTGCGGGAAGAGTTCTTAGATCTTTGCTTTCAAAAGAGGGAACAAACGTAAACGTTGACTGATGCAATTGTGTAAAATTGTAGCATCATGTTGCGTGTGATGTCCTTTTTTTTTAAATTTATATATATATATATTTTTGAGAAATAGTAGAAAATAGGTCAATATGAAAAGCTTAAGAAAGTATATAGGTCAATTTTTAGTTATAGAAATTAATAGGTAATAACTTGTTAAGTTATGGTTCATAACCAGATAAGTTATGGACAAACTTGTCAAGTTATGGTTTATAACCAGACAAGTTATAGACAAAAATCGTGAATAACTTGTCAAGTTATGGTTCATAACCAGACAAGTCATGGATGAAAACAGTAATTTAGCCTATTTATTAATTTATGTAAACTATTGACCTATTAATTTTAATTTATCTCAAGTTTTAGTCTATTTCTCTCTTTCTCCGTATATTTTTTTAAGTCTTATTCCACGGCTATAGTTACCGAAAACTTTAAAAATGTGCCACGATCAAAACGAAGGTCTTTAATTGAGCTTAACCCCTTGAGGCTAGAATGTTGGAAGTTCAATCTTCGGTAAATTCTCATTTTTCGAGCTTTGGTAAACCACCAGAATACGAACCTGGGATCACACGCTCACGTTACTTATGCATCTATTTAAAGTGGCCATTTGTCAATAATTGGGCCTCAAAGAAAAGTGAAAAAATTCTGATGCTATTTCCTTTGTCAATAATAAATTATGATAAAGAGATGCTTTTCTTTTGTCTTTTTTCCCCCCTCTTTTATTTATTTATATTGCAGGTGTACCTAAAGCAAAATAATAGAGTAAAGCTAGACAGTAGTCAAAGCAAGAGTGGTCTGACCAACATCTCTCCTTTATGTTTTGAAATAAATAAATAATTGATAAGATCGACAACGGTATTGTTCAATATCGTTTTTTATTAGATAGTGCAATCCACATGTTACGTGATATTAACATCGATATTATGCTCTTCTAAATAAAAAAATAAATAAACATAAATATGCTTAACTACTTGTCGATACAATCTATTTGGAATCGTATTGGTTCATAACACACATCTTAAAAGAGAGCTAAAAATTCCTATTGCAACGTGGGGAATAATAATAATTATAATAATTATTTTCTTTTGGTGAATAACTTGGGGAATAATTATTAAAAATTGATTGGATACGTCTTCTAAGCTTTTCTTTGCAATCATTGAAAATAAGAGTGTTTGGTAGAAGAAAACCTGTGATATTGGTTCTCATCGTCAGGGTTATTTACTGAAATTAAAAAGAAGAGAAAATAGGGTAATATAGCTTTTTTGGCCACTTTTCCTTTTTAAGGTCGAACTTTTATTATTATTTTTTTTTTTGAGAAAATGCTCGTTTTTTCTACAATAGGTAATCAGTAATAAGTCATGACAACCAATGATAAACGAGTAAATCAGCAAAAATAAAGTAAACAAAAAATGTTAATTTTCTTAACTATCGAAAACTTCGGCCGTTTACTACAAAACACCTTAAAAAACAGCCATTTACTCCCAAATCCCATAGAAGAAACGCAAAAGAAACGGGCTGATTCAATTCCTATATAACTCACACATAAATGAAATAAAATGAAATCTTTTCACAACAAAAAAAAGAAATGAAATATTAATGTTTTGAACTAATAGACAAATTTAGAATTTTTTTTTTCTCTTTTCTAACTGAAGAGAGATGACCATTGGCATTAAAACAGACTAGTATTTATACGTGTGTTCGAAATAATATTTAAGCCATTGTTTGTGCTACTTTTTTTTTTTTTTTTTAAAACGTGTATTAATGCAACATTTTCCTCCGCATATTGCTATTATAATTTTCTAATAGATAACGCTAAGATAGCTTCCACAACACTATTAAGGTTCACAAAAATCACCTCATTCCTAAAATTTTTTTCTTTTCTAATTGAACAATATTATAGGACACCAGACAATAATGGAAACATAAGTCACGTAAAATGGGGCCATAGATAAGATCCAATGTTCACCTCGTTCATCTTATGATAATCTTAATAAATACCTTTTTAAAATGTACGAGTAAGAATTTTTACTCTTTACTATTGATTTATAATTTTTTTAGTCAAATAATTACACTAGTAAAAGAGCATTTATCAAGAGTAAGAAGTAAATATATACTCATACACTCTTAATGTTAAATTTTTCATTTTTTTCTTCAGCCTAAGTGCCCCTGAGACCTTTTTTTTTTTTTTTTTTTTTTGAATGGCTAGATCATCAGTACTCACATGCGCTAATTAAGTCAATCAAATAAAGTGTTGTGGTTACTGGTTCCCCCCCTTTTTTATTGATAAATAATGTGAGGTAATTAGTAATTGACCTAACTCTCTCCATATAAATGTATCCCCTTGGCTTCTCTTCCTCCATTCCAGCATTCACTTCTCATTCCCTCTCTCTCTCTCTCTCTAGTTCGGCTGATTACATTTCCATTGCTCAGGTAATTAGTCAATCAAATAGTTGTAACTAGAAACTGTAGAATTATGTCTTATATATACATCGAAAATAGGTTTGGTTCTGTTGAATGGTCGCGGTCTTATGAAATTTGACATCAAGTATAGCTTATGTTATATTTAATATAAAAAAATAGCATTGCGGTGGAGAGTAATTTTTTTTTTTTTTTTTTTTTTTTTTACTTAAATGCTAAAATTTAATATTGGCACGCTAACTTGGCTATGCAAGTTCTGTTCGGTCGTAGGCTATGGCCACCGGGCAGCTATTCTCGCGCACTACGCAGGCATTGTTCTACAACTGCAAGCAGCTGCCCATCCAACGGATGCTTGACTTTGATTTCCTTTGTGGTATGTATAAGATTAGTTTCCACCACAAACCCGTCTTTACATTTGTTTTCTTAGATAGTCCCTGATTAGTTTATTGGCTTTGTTGGATTCTTTCAGCAGAAAATGTAACACAAATGTTAACGTTGATGTGACTGCAGGGAGGGAAACACCTTCAGTTGCTGGGATCATTGACCCGGGTTCGGAAGGATTTCAGAAGCTGTTTTTCGGGCAAGAGGAGATCGCCATCCCGGTGCATTCGACGTATGTCATGAGTCTCCTATTCTGTTCCTGTAATCCATTCATACTTGCACAACTTTGTTTGGTGAATAGAATTTCAGGAGACAAACTAAAATGCTGTACATAATAACAATCACACAAACAGAAGAAGTGTCTTTTTTCCTTCCTTCCATGTTGAAGATTCTATAGATTTTGTAGATGTTGGGGAAACAATGTTTCTGATTTTAAGATTGCCTAATCTTTCATATTGATTAACTTTTTGCAGCATTGAAGCAGCTTGTACTGCACATCCCACGGCTGATGTCTTTATCAACTTCGCTTCATTTAGAAGGTAACTACCTAAATGGGACGGACATGTATAGGATTCAGTAGGGGTACGTGCCCCCACTGAAAAAGTCATCGTTGTTTTTGTGTCTCTCGTTATTACGAAAACCCTAAAAAAAAAAAAAAATTATTTATGTACAAGGACGAATTTATATAAGCATGTACACCCGCTGAAAATCCATCTATATCACTCAAATTATTTATGATAAACCGTCAAGAATCTCAATGCTCCTTCGCTTAAGTCTTTATATTTTTCCTTAGATAGTCTAAAGTTGGTTAATTATTCTTTCTTTTATTTGTTTCCTTTTTAAAAAAACTTTTAGGAGTATTAAAAGGCGTCGTAAAATTTTTAGTGTTTTTCTTTCCTTTTTTTCTTTGACTTTTTAATCCTTTTATAAATCTAGCAATTATAATAGCTTTTGCAGTCTTCTGTTTTTTCTTTTTTTCTGTTTTCTTTTCTGTTTTTTTTTTTCCTTTATGATAAAGTCTAATACTTACTGTTTTTATTATCTGAATCAAGCATTATTTTTGAAATTAAAAAGGAAAAAAAAAAAACCCTGCAATCCATTAGATTGCTTCCTTCTTTCTCACCTTAACGCCTCACTCTTTTGCTTCTCCACATAATTTTTGCAAACTATTTACTTCCTTCACCAACTTAAAATTTGAACGTTAATCTTATATTATTCGATGAAATGTAACAGAAAATTGTAATCATGTATAATTTTGGGGAAACGTTATTATTATGTAATAATCGATCATTTATATATTTATTTTTCTTTGAAAATTAGTTTTGATGTTTATTTGTATTTTAGCCTAAGTTCATATCTTGGTTTTAGTTTATAATTATTTATGCCTCCACTGAAATAAAATCTGGATCCGTCACTGACCTAATGCTGATAGTATTAGGCTTCTAATTTTTTTTTTTTTTTTCCCCACAAGTTCCTTTTCAACCAATATATGTTGCGTCTTTCCAGTGCTGCTGCTTCTTCCATGGCTGCACTGAAGCAACCAACCATTCGAGTTGTGGCTATCATTGCCGAAGGTGTACCGGAGTCGAACACTAAGAAATTGATAGGTTATGCACAATCAAACAATAAGGTGAGGATTGATGCAGATGTTATCCTCAATGCACAAACAGTGACGGAGCCACCTTAAGCGTAGTTGGGGCCTACCCCAACTCTTGTGTACTATCTGACGTGATATGTGAGTTGTCATTTTTATATTAGTAGGTGTTTAAAACATTGCTACATCAGTTAATGATAAGAGATTGCATCTACTAATAAAAAGATGACAACACATATGACGCATCAGTTGGTACACAGGAGTTAAAATTGGAATTGATACCTCTAGCATTATTCATAAATCAATAATTAATGCGGCAATACTATATAAGTTCACATGCAAATCTTGAAAAGTGAATTAAACTCAATGACAAGATTGATTCGTTTATATTACATAAGTATAAAAATAGTAAAATCACAATAATTGTACTATTATTTGAACACGCCCCAGCGAAAAAATTTCCTAACTAAGCAAAATGACCCAAGCAGTACTAATCTGATGCTGATGGCGTTTCAGGTTGTCATTGGCCCAGCTACTGTTGGTGGCATTCAAGCTGG